CCGGCCCGGATCATGGGAGTGCCCTGGGGACCCCCTCCCCCATTCGTGCGTGGTCTCCCCACCGGCGCTAACGCTCTGCTCCTGCCTCCCCAGGTCGAAAGTCACCTTTAAAATCACGCTGACCTCGGACCCGCGGCTGCCCTACAAAGTGTGAGTGACACCCCCGCGTGCCTGGTGCGCATGCGCCGCCTCCCCTCGTTCTCACGGGAACGTCACTGCATGGGCCCCTCTGCCCCTCCCCCCTCCTCCCAGCACTGCCCCAGCTCTGCCCGTGGGCACCCCCACACCCTATGTCCCCAACCACCCACCCCAGGTGCTGCCCTCCACACTCACCCCTCTCTGCTACCAACCCCTTGTCCTGCGCAGGTGAACCACCCTCCCATGAGTCCCCCAACTGACCTACCCCCAGGCGCTTATCCCTGTGTGCCACCATAGACGCTGCCCCCTTTATCAGTCTTCTTGTTACCAACCCTGCGCCTTGTTCACCCCCTTTCCCACATCCACCTTGCAGTCACCTTGCCCATAGTCTCCCAGGATAGTCCCTGCCACACCAGCTGGCACTGCTTCCTCACACCAGCCCTTGCCATTGATCTTCTCTGTCCATGGATACTGCCTCTCAACCCTCAACTCCCACTGCCTTTCCTGTGGGTTCCGGCCCATGGATGTTGCTGGATCAGAAAACCCCAGATTTTAGAGGTGCAAACTCTAACTGATGTTTTTGTACAGTTTACTAAGGCCATGTTTCCACTACAAAGTTTTATTGATATAAGGCAGATTATGCCAACCTAACTGTGGAGGTGTGGACACTGCAGTGCTGTTGCCTCTTTAAATCACCTGCTACACCAATATGAAATCACCTCAAGGAGAGACCTACAGTGAAGGGAGACATAGTTAGGGCAACACAGTGTCAGTGTAAAAACATGAATGATCATTATAAGTGGCTTCTGGGAAGTATTCCCATAATGCCCCTGTGACTGGTCATCATTTTGAACTGCTGCTTTGCAGCCAGATACACAGGTAACCATTCCTCCCTATAAAAGCCCTGGGAAGTTTTGAATATGGTCTTTCTGTTTGCTTCATGTGGACAGCTCTCCCAGCAACTGGCCAGATGAATGTGGAGCCAGCATGTCTATAAATAATGTATTTAAAAATAAAAATGTCAGGGTTTTTTTTGTTTGTTTGGTAGGTTTTTTTTTGGTTTTTTTTTTTGTTTTTTTGCAATGTACTACTCTTCTTCATGTGTGTTAGGTCCTGATCTAGCAGAGCATGTAAGTACATGCTTTGCTTAAACTACATGAGTGCTCCCATTGATTTCAGTGGAATTATAATCAATAGCTTTAGAAACATTGGAATTATGATTTTTAGACCAAATAAGAGACTATCTATTAATTCTTCTGTGTTGCAGGTTAAGTGTGCCTGAAAATACACCTTTTACAGCTGTCTTGAAGTTTGCTGCAGAAGAGGTAAGTGTTGAGTTGTTATTGATGTAAACATAGTCACTAGAAAGTTAAATGACAAGACTTATGTAAATTTTGGTGTGAAATTGTAAACAGTTTGTGACTAGATTGAGTCATGTTGAAAGTTTGCTTTTATTGAAAAAGCTAATTGGAATTTCATCAAGGCAATTTATATATAGTAGCAAGTGATATCTGATACAGAATTGATTACCTGGGTGTAAAATATGTATGATTTTCATATAGATAGAGTAGGAAATAAACATTAAATTAATAAAAAAAAGAGAAAACTGGAGAGCAGTAATGCTGATATTCTAGTAGGCTACGTCTACACTGGCCCCTTTTCCGGAAGGGGCATGTAAATTTCACCAGTCGTAGTAGGGAAATGCGCGGGGGATTTAAATATCCCCCGCGGCATTTAAATAAAAATGTCCGCCGCTTTTTTCCGGCTTTTAAAAAAGCCGGAAAAGAGCGTCTACACTGGCCCCGATCCTCCGGAAAAAGCGCCCTTTTCCGGAGGCTCTTATTCCTACTTCAAAGTACACTTGTAAATTTCAAAGTAGGAATAAGAGCCTCCGGAAAAGGGCGCTTTTTCCGGAGCTCTTATTCCTATTTTAAAGTACACTTGTACACTTCAAAGTAGGAATAAGAGCCTCCGGAAAAGGGCGCTTTTTCCGGAGGATCGGGGCCAGTGTAGACGCTCTTTTCCGGCTTTTTTAAAAGCCGGAAAAAAGCGGCGGACATTTTTATTTAAATGCCGCGGGGGATATTTAAATCCCCCGCGCATTTCCCTACTACGACTGGTGAAATTTACATGCCCCTTCCGGAAAAGGGGCCAGTGTAGACGTAGCGGTAGTGATTGTGGACAACAAAATGTCATTGGCTTTTTTGCTATTACACATTTAAACTGTTGTTTCGGGCTGCGTATGATTAAGTGCCACATCACAGTTTACTACAGAAATGGTGTGTCTCTACTTGGCTTTTGTGAATCTGCACCTGGACTAATGTGATATTTTGAGCACTTTCTTAAGGGAAGATAGTGATTTGGAGGGATTTCAGAGAACATTAAAATGATTAAGGGGCTAGAGGGATGTGAATTAAAAATAAGAAAAATGTGTATAAGTGACAGATAAGGTGAGTGCACAGCTTATAAGTATTTGAAGGATATAAAAGCCAAGGAAAAGTAGAGAAGAAGGAGAATCCAGAGGTTAGGGTGTCAGTTTAGGATTGTGGAGACTCGGTTTAGTTCTTTGCCCTGCCACGGACTTACTACGTGATTTCAAGAAAGTTACTGATGGCTTGCCACTGTGGGAAGGTTTATGTCAGTATAGAGTAAGATGTGAATTTAGACTAATGGAGTAATACCGCTAGTACTCCGCATGTGAACACTAATTCCTGAATGAGCATTTCTACACAAGAAACTATGTAATTGGATCAGTTTAACTATACTGGTTTCGATTAATCAGCTAATCAACTAGTTGATGGAATTTCTATTGACTACACCATTAGTCAATAAGGGGGGCGCTCGCTGTCCCATTGCGCCTCTCCTTTTGAAATGTACAAGAGCCGCCCTTGTACATTTCAAAGGGAAAAGCACAGCAGTCAGACCCCAGAGTGAGGATGCACAGCAGTCAGACCCCAGAGTGAGGATGCCTCTGTCTCCCCTGCTCCCTTTGGAGACAGTGCTGGGGGGAAACAGCTTTTAAGTTGGCTCCTGGTCAACCCCTTGCCACATCCTTTCTGCTAGGAGTAGCCGGGGCGAGGGGGAAGTGACTACTCGACTATCTGATAAGCATATGCTTATTGGGTAGGCACCTAGTCACTTACATCCCTAATACTGGTATAGTCCTATCCATATAACTGGTAAAGCTTTCATGTGTTGTCAAACCCTCTCTCTCTCTCTCTCTCTCTCTCTGACTCAGATGGCTAAAAATAATAGTGGCTCAGGCTAGCTGTTCAACTACAATCTCAGTTTACTCCTTGGAAAATGTGCTACAGGTTGTACCTCCCTTAACTAGGACTCCCTGGTCCAGAACATCCTGGACCACGGATGTTCTTGGAACACAGAGCCTAGGAAAAGGGAGGTCTGGTGGCAGGGCAGGATCACGTTAAGGGGCACCAGCAACCTATTGTTTGTGTGGGAGGGAGGGAAATGGGCAACACAGCAGGGAGTTCTGGCCCCAGCACCAGCTGTGGAGCTCCAGCCCCAGTAGAGGCCAGAGATCTCTATCTCCGGCTGTGAAACTGCAGCCCCGGCCCCCCACCCCAGCCGTGGCTGTGCATGGAACCAGACAGCTGCTGAGGTGCTCTGCCCTGGCTGTGCATCTCCCGCCCCAGTCACAAAGCCAAGCGGCTGTGAAGCTCCGTCCGTGGTTCTCCGCCCCAACAGCAGCAAGGCCAGTAGCATTTAGAAAGCCCCGGGAGGCTCAGGGAGCAGGCTGGAGACCTAACCCAGTGGCAGCACCTTCCAGAAGGGGAGGGACCTTCCCTGGTCTGGCAAATCCCCTTGTTCAGGATCAGTCAGGTCTCACGGCTGCCGTATTAGCGAGGTCCAACCTGTAGAAGAAATAATAATGTACTGGAAGAGGGAATGGACTTGATGACATTTGCAAGTCCATATTAGAAAGGATTTGCAGGTATAGCTGTTCAGGCAGCTGGAGATGCAGTTTAAACTAGTAAAGAGTGCTTTTGCCAGTATAGTTTATACTTGTTCCCCAAATGAAATAACCTATATTGACAAAACAACCTTTTTGATAGTATCACTGCATCCATATTAGAGTTTTGTCAGTTTAGCTATGTTGGTGATGGTTGTGATTTTAATTTTTTTAAATACACCATCCAAAATAGCTATGCTAGCAAAACTTTTACATGTAGACCAGACTTTTATAGGTACTTTCCATTTCTAAGGCTTTTCATGTACATGCTTTAAGCATAGCTCTATTACGAAAGGATTAGTTATTAAATGGTCACATTAAACAAGATATGGTTGCAACTAGCAGATATAGGGCATTTCTATACTATGTATTTTATATACTTTGGATCATGCTCTTTGGAATCAATGGAAGTCTTTCTGTTGACATCAGCGAGCTTTGAATTATCCCCTTTGTGTAGGTTTACAACCTAGAGGGATAATTATAGCTGTTTTCAAGAGGCTTAGAGGGAAAATGAAGAACAATTGTTGTAGTGGGCTCTTTTGTACCCCACATATCATTACTGTTCAGTTATATAAATCCACTTAGCGCATATGAAAGAAAACGTTTTATTTTTTAAAGGTTTTGATATTTTTAGAATTATTTTTTAAAACTATTATACAGTATGACGGCATTTAGCTCTTTCACACGCTGGTACAAGGATCTGAGGGGAGGAGGAAATAGTGAAATGATAACTTAATCTGGCTCTCAGTGCTTTTAACGGCACATGGTCCATTTATGGATCCCTATTACAGACACAAAAGCTCTGTTTAAAAACAAGTTACAAAGTCAAGCACTTGAAAGTTAAGAAATGCCTATCCATCCTTAATTTAGCCTGCCTGTGCCTTATGATGCAGTTTTTAACTACTTGGCCAAAGAGTATTTTTTCCACTTGACCGCCTTCCTCATTCAATATACTTTTCTTGTTTTAGAGAGGAATGAGGGTAGTCTAGTAAAGGAGGCTGCTGTTTGTAGGGTCCATGTCTCAATTGTTTCTGAAGTTGAAAAGTAATGAATAACATAGGGAACTATAAGAAGAGGAAAGGTGGTCAAGGCAGTTGGATTCTGTCTCTACTTCTGCCAGAGAGTTCCTGTGTGTTGCTACTATGCAAGTCATTGAACCCAAACCTTTTGAAGGTGGTCACTAATTCTGTGTTTCTCATTCTGCATGTTCAACTTGAGATCTTGTCTGTTTTACAAAAATGCTGATCACTTGGAACTGCAGTTGAATTCCTAGGGAGCTGAGTTTTAGTATATAAAGGGGTGTAAAATGTTAAGTACTTTAAAAAATCAGGTCCTATTGTTCTCAAATTAGGCACCCAAAATTGGTGAGTATTTTTTAGCTTTCTGTCTCTGTTTCTCAGTTCCCTATCTGTAAAATGGACATAATCCGTCCCATCACCTCACAGAGGTGTTTGTAAAGATATATTAATTTTATGAAGCACTGACATACAAGGGTGAAAAGGGCCATAGAAAAATTCATGCAGATTTCTTCAGAGCAGGATTTGAATATTGCACATTTCATGAGGTGTGTGGCCACATATTACATAAAAAGAGATTAATATAACGTGTTGAATAGCTATTAACTTGAGCACTGTCCATACAGTGCATTGAATGAGACAGAGGTCCTATGTTAAAAAGAGTGTATGATCATGTAATAAAAGGCTATACAAGAATGTGTATGCGAAAGAGGGCTCAATTAATGTTGCAATGGAAACTGAATTGAGGTATTTTCCTAACTGTTGAGTCTTGACTTGAGTGTAGTCTGAATAATGTTTTTAAGTATAGTTTGTGAGTGTAATTTCCTAGTTTTTTAAACAAGCAAACTGAGCAAACATAAATTCCATCATATGGACGCTAGGGATGTTAGATATTGGGTAATTGAATAATCGTGTAACCACATGAAATCTTAGCAGTTACATGACTATTCAATAATCCCTAGGGGTGGTGCTGGGAGCCAGTGTGCTCCCACCCCCACTCCCAAGGAGCCTCCTGCCACTCCATGCTGCTGGCAGCAATGCGGGATGGCAGGTGGGAGCGAGTTTAAAAACAAGCTCCCCATGCAGACTGATACAGAGGCAGCAGCATAGGGTGGCAGCAGCCCCTGTTTGTGGGAGGGTCTGATCCCACTGTGAACAGAGGCTTCTTCACGGTGGTCTTCTCCCCCCTTCGCCCTCCCCCCCGCCAGGGATATAATTATATATAAATAATTATATTTCATACGGGCTTAAATCATTGAAATTACAACACAGCTTTATTCATTGTAGTATTTTCCACTTTTTCTGTCTTTCAAATTAATTTGTCATGCATTTGTTTCCTTTAGTTCAAAGTTCCTGCAGCAACAAGTGCCATTATAACAAATGGTAAGAATATAGTTTTTTATATTATGGATTGAGTTAAACTATATTTCAGAGAAATATAAGTAGGTTTTCTCTATAACCCAACCAGCATATAAACTGATGAGCTTCAATGGTAATGTGTCACTGTTATACGTAACGCTGGTGCATGGAGTTTTTCCATTGGTATTTTATTGCTATTTGAAGGGTTTTTATTCTACAGCATATCTCATGCTTCACTATGCTGAAATTTTTATCACCAGCTAAAAGTAATAAAGCTGACTAGTTATCATTGTTAGCAATTGATAAAGACTGATATTTAAAAATTATTATACTATATTGTTTAGAACGTTGAATATTTTGCATTCATTTTAATGATGTAAGTTTACACTACTAGATACTCGGATCTGTTTTTGTTTTAGCCTCCAAAATAAATATTTGGTGTTTTACTTTTTCTTAGATGGAATAGGAATAAACCCTGCACAAACAGCGGGTAAGTATTTACTTAAAAAAAAAAAAAAAAAAAAAGCTGAAAAATTTTTATTCAGTTATGATGTACTGCAGTGAGTGACTTATGTAGTGCATCACAGTTTTTACAGTTTTTCAAATAGAGATCTAGAAATACTAAACGATGGTGAAAACTGCATTCAAACATTGTGAATAACAGACAATTACTGCTCAGTGTTTTATTTATTTAGCTCTTTGAAACAATATCAGGTGCCTAGCTAATATTCCAGGGCCCTCTAATAAATACTTAATGTGATAAAGATAAAAAAATAGAAACTCCATAATATATCATACTTAAGTAACCATGCAGGAAGAAAAACTCTTGACTTCTGTAAGTCACTCAGCAATATTTACCATTTCAGAAGTTGTGCCCTGAAAGTCTACTGATTTAAAGCTATTTTGGACTGGGTTATGGAAACATACTGAAGGAAGGTGATCTCTCACAGATTTCCTTGCAGTAGGGATGTAATCATGTAGTTGATTAACTGATAAGCAGAAGCCAGTACATTTTTTAGCAGGCTAGCCAGCAGCCTGGCTCAGTCCTGGCTTGTGCATGGTCTGTGACCTACTACCACTGCAAGTCTGCATTTAAAGTGATTTAGGAACCAGATGGGCAGGCAGCCTGGTTCAATTCCGGCTTGTGCTGGGTCTGGGAGCTCAGATACCACCTGGAGAGGGGCTGCTGCCACCCCACACTGCTGCTTCTGTATCAGAGGCAGCAGGGCAGGGCAACAGCCAATCTGTCCATGAGAGGAGCAGGGTTTCAAACTGGCTCCCCTCATGAACCAGTTCCCATCTGGCACCCTGCACTGCTTCCTCTGATAGAGAGGCAGCAGCGCAGGGTGGCAGGGGGCTCCTCAGGAGCAGGGCTGGAGTGCCCTGGCTGCCAGCCCCACCCCCTGGCAACTATAGAATAGCTGAGTAACAAATAAGAATTCATGAGGTTACTCGAGTATTCTGTTAACTGATAATTAACATCCCTGGATTCAGGAAACTTTTCTTAGCTCAGCTGTCGAGATGTGCCAAAGAGAAAGGTGATTGCTTAAATAGGAAGGTTTGAAATCATCTTAAAATCAGCACCTTAAATTGCACCAAGAAACACACAGGCAGCCAGTGCAGATTTTGGAGCCCTGATTAGGTATGCATAGAAAGACACTCCATCTACAAACCAGGCTGCTATATTCTTTCCTAGCTTACTGTCAAAATAAATTTAAAGTGTTACTTTAAGAGAACATTGCAATAGTCTAGTCTCCAAATCACAAAAGAACAAACTTTGTTAGCAAGTTCCACTTTGGAAAGAAATTGTCAAATTCTTCTAGCCAGACACAAATCATGAAAGTGGTCTTAACTACTGCTGAACAATGATCATCCAAGGATTAAGTTGGAATCTAAGAAGACTTCCACATGGCGGATATGCACCTTCAGTAGATAAATGTATGTGACTTTGCCTGATCTTCTCATCGCTTTTCCCAGCCTATAAATGCTGCCATCTACTTGTCTGGATTGAGCCTCAGCCAGATCTAATTCTTCTGTGCCCCAGTCTCTACCAGATATTGGGGAAGACACACCTACATTCTGTTGGGATCAAAAGAGAGAAAAATGAAGCTGGGCATTTTCAACATACTGAAGATACAGCGACTCTTTTCCACTAAGGCCCCAGTCCCATAAAGTGCTTAAATCCTTTGTTGAATCAGGGTCTAATCCATTAACATCACATATATTCACTGAATGAGAGAGAGGAGAGATTAATAACAAACTTTTCAGCTTGGAAAAGAGACGACTAAGGAGGAATATCATAGAAGTCTATAAAGTCTTGACTGGTATGGAGAAAATAAATAAGTTTTAATTACTCCTTACTATACCAAATGAAATGAATAAGAAGAAGATATAAATACATCAAAAGGAAGTATTTCTTCACACAATGCACAGTCAACCTCTGGAACTCTTCAAAGAGGATTTTGTGAAAGCCAAGATTACAAGTTTTTAAAAAGAGCTACTTCATGGAGGTTAGGTCCATAAGTGGCTATTAGCCAGCTTGGGCAGGGATGCAGTTCCTAGTTTCTGATAAAAGCTGGGAATGGGCAATGGGATAATTACTTGATAATTACCTGCTTTGTTCATTCCCTCTAGGCCATCTGGCATTGGTCACTGTTGGAAAATAGGATGCTGAACTATTTGGACTTTTGGTCTGACCAGTATAGCAGTTCTTATTAGTTCAAGATAAAATCTTACAGAATCTAAGGCAGCTGATAAATCTGATAATGCAGTGTGGATACTTGAACTTCATCCATCACTGCTAGTGAGTCATCTTGCAATGTTACAAGACCAATACCATAACTCACTGGTGTGCAACCTTTTTTCAACCATGACCTCCATATTTTATTGTACTCGTGTCGCGACCCCCAAGGTAATTTGAGCGGCGCTGCATTAGATCCGGACAACCAGGTGCTGGGCCCGGCCATTGCTAGTTGCATGGCGTGGCACTTAGATCCGGATGGCCGGGGCTTATGCCTACCGCTATGGCGACCTCCCCCAGGAAGACATCTGCAGCCCCCTTGGGGGTCGTGACCCACGGGTTGTGCACCACTGCCATAACTGACAAGGGTCAAAATAAATCAGATATTTAGACATAGAGAGTTCTCACCACTGTTTTTACATGAATCATAACTGCAAAAGGAAGATTAAATATAGGGTGATTAGAAACCAGATTATCAGTGTCAGGTGATGGTTTCTTAAATATGCATTGATGCTGCTAAGTGATGCTATCACATTGCCATTTAGTCTGTTAAAGTCTTTACCAGCACTGGCTCGGTGCATTTATTAATATTTGGTCTCCCATGCTTCAGTTGTCCTGGGTAATATGTAAACTTAGATGACTATAATAAAGCTGATCAACAGTAGACAAGGCATCACGTACTAGGGATATTAAAATGCGTTTAATTAACCACGTAACCGCTGAAAATTTTAATGGTTGCATGGAGGGTGGCAGGCAACTACCCTGAATCTAGTGTTTGTGGGGAGTCAACTTTTAAGCCGGCTCCCTGCACATACTGGTTCCTGTCTGCCGCCCTGTGCTGCTGCCTTTGATATAGAGGCAGTGGGGCAGCAAGCAGCTCCCCAGGAGCAGGTGTGCACCCACATGTACTGAGAGCCTATGTGTAACCGTGAACATTAACCGATGAGCTCAGGCTCATAAATACTTACTGTGATAAAGAAAAATAAATAGAAACTGAACCTAGGTTCATTGGTTAACCATGTACACTTTCATATCTCTATCTTGTACATACCTGTTAATCAGTATAGTACTAATGTTTTTGATACGTTTATTTAAAATGCTTTTGGTTCTTTAAAATCTCCTTTGAGAGAGCAATTATTTCAGTCTTTAAAAACCGCAGAATATGAAGATCTATTGTAAAAATCTAATTTTATCCCTTTGGGTCATAGACTGTCCTTCCGTGCATTTCCTTGTCTCCCAATCCTAACAAAAATAATGAAGAAGTGAGCTGTGCCCACAAAAGCTCATGATACCATCTACATGTTTTGTTAGTCTTTAAAGTGCTACCAGACTATTTGTTGTTTTTTAAGTTTATCCTGTACAGACTAATTCAGCTACCCCTCTAAAGCTTTCAACAATAATGTTGTACTTCTAATATATAATCCCTCCTCCACATTAACTCTGTGCTACCTCCATTTTGGGAGACGGAGGTAGAAAGATGCAGAGCAGGAGTTAGTGATCCAACCAACATAACTACCATACAGATTTCTATTTTACACATGCTGTGACTTTATAAAGAATACATTGAGGCATTTAATGGTTGAGGCAGTGAGGGAAGTGCAAGAATGAGTGATGTGTGCATGGGAGCAAATGTGGGTCTGTTTAAATAACATTTGTATAGCTTTTGTAAGATGCAAAGTGGCACAAGCACATTTCATCCAGATTAGCAGATTTAGTCCTAAGAGTATCAGATTCGTTATTCAAGCCCTTATGTGTGTTGTATATAAACTACTTTTCTTGTTTCCTTTGGTTTTCTGACTAGCATAAAATAATTGCAATAACCATATAAAATCTTACGGGGGTTTTTTGTGCTTCAAAACTATATGCTTCTGGCAAACCTTTTAAAATATATGCTTGTGGCAGAACACTTTAAGTATGTGGATCTGGACAAATAGAATGTTTAACATCACAGCCACTGTGCTTAAAGGGTCCCTTAGTTTTAATTCAAGGGAAAAGGGTCCACTGTAATGATAACTTGAACAAGTGTTAAAGAACAAGCACTTAGCAGAAGTGAGGTTGAAGCATCTGGGAGAGGACTTATTATAGGTATGTTTTCACATAAAAGCAGCAAGAGATAAGTGCTTTAAATACTTGTCATATGTAGGTAGATTTTTGGGAGGAATGGAATTGAAAATTGTATGGGAAGTATTTCCTAAAATACTTTAATTTTTTTTAAATGGCTTTCTTTCTCTGAAAAGCCTGTCACTATCAGCTCTCCATTTAAGTATTGTTGCAGAGCCGCAGCAGGGGTAGCTCCCGGGACATGGCACGAGCTGGGACTGAGCCAGATTGCTGGCCAGCACTCTAAAAACTTACTGGCAGAGCTGCTGGGGTGGAGGGTGCGGGGCGGGGAGAGGGAATGCGTGTAGTTAATAGCATTAACCGATAAGCTTTTGTTTATCGGTTAATCATTTAACCGAATATGCTATAACATCCGTACCAAGTACCAGCTCCAAAACTCCCATTGGGATCTGCAAGGGTGACACCTGCAGGTAGGGGCAGCATGCAGAGCTTCCTGGCCACACTTCTTCCTAGGAGCTAGAACAGTGGTCTCCAACCTTTTTACACCCAAGATCACTTTTTAAGTCTCAGAACAGGCGAAGATCTACTCCCCCGCCTACATTACATGAGGAAATCTAATGTAAATGTACTGCGCAGGTGTGCAGTTCAAAGAGGGCTCAAGAGCTACTCTTAGAGCCCCTGAGATCTGCTGGTAGATCGCGATCTACTGGTTGGTGACCACAGAGCTAGAAGAATATGCTGGTTGCTTCTCAGGAGCCTCATAAAGTAAGCACCACCTGGAATACCCACACACCATACCATACCAGTGAAAATGAGAGAGGGGCTGTGTCCAGACTCAGGGGTTTTTTCGAAAAAAGTAGCCTTTTTTCGAAAAAGCTTCCCCTGCGTCCAGACTCAAGCCGCGTTCTTTCGAAATTAATTCGAAAGAACGTGGCTTTTCTTTCGATGGCGGTAAACCTCATTTCACGAGGAAGAACGCCTTCTTTCGAAAGTTCCTCTTTCGAAAGAAGGCGTTCTTCAATGTAAATAGGGCTTCTTCAAAAGAGAGCATCCAGACTCACTGGATGCTTTCTTTCGAAAAAGCAAGCCGCTTTTTCGAAAGTTCAA